CTTGTACCTTGTAAAGGCACAAACTCAAGGTGAGCTTTTGTATGTGACGGGTTTTGCACTTTATAGAATCGCGTATGAGGGAATTCGAATCTGAAATCAAAATTTGTCAAATGACATTCCAGACGTGTAAAACTTCAATCGAAAATTTGGTGCCAAAACGGATCGCTTTGATGCTTGAAAAGGTTCTTTCCTAAAACCGCCGAGTATGCTAGATGGCTTAGTGGATAACACGTTAGACTCCCCACATGCAGGATCCGGGTTCGGTTCCTGATGGAGCTTCTCGTTTTTTTTTGAACCAACTTCTTGCTCTTTGCAGTTTAGCTAATATTTTGCATACCCAATTCTACAAAAGTGCACTGGGTCTTCAGAGAAAGCTCACCTTGAAGCGTACGTACTTGTCCAGCGTACACACTTGTCTTGAAGCGTACGTACACAGTCAAAACGATCTTAAAGTGCTTGCTTTTGATTCTGATTGATACTTTCCAATTGATAATTTCTAATTGATAATTTCTAATTGATGAAAGGTGTTATAATTGATAATTATAGCTCATTCCCAATAAAAGCTAACAATTAATATCAAATAATTTATTCCAAGTCGCTTTATATCTTCTATGAGATCGAACATTTTCGCGGTAAACACACATCGAACCCCTTTCTCTTTTAGTGACAATGGTTAGCAGAAAATTGATAGGAAAAAAAAAGGAGAATGCAATGGATTGGAGGAAACCATTGTCTGATGGAAGAAAAAGAATGACATAAGAGGAAAAAAAGGAGAAAGGAGTGACAATCACTTGTTGGAAAAGGAGGGAAAGGAACGACCGAGTCAAATTCCTCCATCGATTGCCTTAAAAAGGGGTTTGAAGAGTGTTTCCGGTTCAACTTAGTCAAAGGTCATTTTCTTTCAATCTTCTTGCTTCAAAATCTTCTTGCTTGTCTACCTTTTTCTGATTTATTTTCACTTTTGCATGAATTTCTGGCAGCCGAACACCCAGAGGGCAAATCTGGGAAACCGGCTTTGAAACGAGAGAGAGAGAGAGCTCAGAGAGAGCTCACGTTGAGCAATCCACTTAAAAAAAGAGAACTCATCCTGGATTTCTTTTCGACTTTGATCATAAATTAGCTTTTATATAAATTTTAGATTAATGAGGATACGATTATTTTTACAATTCGCTTTCTTTTCTCTTGTTTATTCATGGCCAGATGGAGCTCCATGTGTACATGCAGCATTTGAGAGTATGAACCCGTTGGAAGCAGTCGAACATCAAGGAGGATTACAGGTCGAGAATCCTTCAAAATTATTACTCACTTTTGATCTCTAAACAAGTGAAAAAACCTTTTCTTTCTTTAACAATTTAATAAATTTAAAACAAAATTTAGTTGAACGAACCTCCTTACGAAATCGCTGTCGATCAATCGTGTTATTGGGCAAATCAACCAGTTGGATGTTTGTTATTTTTTAAAAATTTAATCAATGTTTAATCTTTAGTGACAGTTCAAGGCAAAAATCTCACAATCAAGTTCAAAGGATTCGCCGTTCAGCCGTATGAATGGAGAAATGGAAGAACGTTGGGCAGGTTCGTGAAAAGAAACAATAAACTCTCTTTGAACAACAAGGATCTTTAAGAATCTGTGATTTGATTCTAGATCTAGCTTCTAGAGTAAGGATTCTAGACCTAGATCTAGATCTAGCTTCTAGAGCAAGGATTCTAGATCTAGATTCTAGAGTAAGGATTCTAGATCTAGATTCTAGAGCAAGGATTCTAGACCTAGATTCTAGAGCAAGGATTCTAGACCTAGATTCTAGAGCAAGGATTCTAAATCTAAATTCTAAAGCTAGGATTCTAGATCTAGCTTCTAGAGCTAGGATTCTAGATCTAGATTCTAGAGCAAGGATTCTAGACCTAGATTCTAAAGCTAGGATTCTAAATCTAGATTCTAGAGCAAGGATTCTAGCCCTAGATTCTAAAGCTAGGATCCTAGATCTAGATTCTAGAGTAAGGATTCTAAATCTAGATTCTAAAGCTAGGATCCTAGATCTGATTCTGGCAAGGATTCTAGACCTAGATTCTAAAGCTAGGATTCTAGATCTAGCTTCTAGAGCTAGGATTCTAGATCTAGATTCTAAATCTTAAATTTTAGAACAACATTCTTAAGTCTTAACCATAATATGATCTTTTTAAGACTAAAACATCTTCAGAATCGGCCAATTCATTCGGCTTGATGACAATGGATCTTGGCAACAACAATGCTTTAGAAGAAAGGTTGCCTGAGAAAAAGATAATCTTCAAACCATTCTAAGAAATTTGATTTTAGAGTTCTTATTCTAAGCTTTCAAATGAATCACTTTCTAGGACTCAGCCACCCATTCGCACGATGAAAGAAGAAACATATCAAACTTTGGTGGAAAAGTGATGATGATTTGAGAACTGTGCAATTTGTGTTTGTTTTAGCTTTAATTAAGAAATTCAAAGCTTTTAGGGCGACCGTCGTTGAGCACATTCGGAAATTCTGGGTGAAATCGGTTATATCAGTGCCGATTCCGCCGTGTCGACAATCGAGAAGGACCGAGGTTTGTGTGGATAAATATATCGGATCGGATAAATAAAAGATGATGCAAAATTATGGAAACTCGATTTTTCGACTGTAACTCGACACCCAATTATTCAATTCCCTTAATTTCTGTGGTCAATTTCAATTTTTAGTTCAGAAACACAGTGCTACGCTTTTACGCTTCTGTTACGTTTTCACAGTGTTACGATTTGTTGTTCTGTTAAGTGTTACGCTCTGTTAAGTGTTACGCTCTGTTAAGTGTTACGCTCTGTTAAGTGTTACGCTCGGTTAAGTGTTACGCTCTGTTAAGTGTTACGCTCGGTTAAGTGTTACGCTCTGTTAAGTGTTACGCTCTGTTAAGTGTTACGCTCTGTTACGTGTTACGCTGTTACGTGTTACGCTGTTAAGTGTTACGCTCTGTTAAGTGTTACGCTCTGTTACGCTTTCACAGTGTTACGCTTTGTTACGCTAGTACTTCGAAGTTCAAAGGTGTCAACCTCTCGGCAGAATTGTTTGGCAGGATTTGCACATATTTTGAAAAATTTCTCGCTTCGTATTTACTTATTTTTCTCTTTTGATTAAGAAATAGACTTATCTGCAGCATTTAGCATTAGAAGATTTCCAATATTTCAAAAATTTTGAGGACCAATAGTTGAATTCCCTGAAGCAGAGCAGCGATTTGTATAGCAACTCTGCAAATCATTCCTGATTTGCTGTCTTACAAAGTTTATGCATTTTTTTTTTGTGATATTTGTCTAAATTTAATTGATTGGAAAAAAACTAAAAGGTTTGGTTGATTTTTGAGGAATTCGTGAGAGATGAAAACTATTGAAAACGATGATTCTGCCGAGAGGTTTGCACCTTTGAACTTCGAAGTACTAGAAAAAGCGTAACAATGTATTTTTGAATTAAAAATTGAAATTAACCACAGAAATTCACTTGAAATTTCATATAAATATGAAATTAGGGAAATTGAAGAGTTGGGCGTCGAGTAACAGTCGAAAAGCCGAGTTTCTATAATGGTGCGTCACCCTGTTTACTGGATTTAAAACCTTGTGAAGTTTGTAAAACCATTTCTTTTGTAGCTTTTAACATCGATGCTAATAATCAAATACATCTTTATATTTATGCTATCGTAAATAGTCTAATAGAAGCCACCTATAGAAGCGTCGCGTAGTCTAAGTTTACTCTCAAACAAAGCAAATCAAGCAAATGAAAAAATCAGTTTAACTTCATTCATGAAACAATCAGTTTAACTCCATTCAGGAAACAATCAGTTTAACTCCATCCATGAAACAATCAGTTTAACTCCATCCATGAAACAATCTGTTTAACTCCATTCAGGAAACAATCAGTTTAATTCCATCCATGAAACAATCTGTTTAACTCCATCCATGAAACAATCAGTTTAACTCCATCCATGAAACAATCAGTTTAACTCCATCCATGAAACAATCTGTTTAACTCCATTCAGTTGTTCAGTCTGAAAACAGCAAAACTTTGAGCCAATGAATCAAGAATTCGAATCAATAATAGCTGATTCAAATTCAAACTCACCACGTCGAGTTCGAAATAAACAATCTCTTAGATCTCAAATTAAAGTCGAGAAGATCGGTGATTTTTTAAGATCTAACAAATATTAGGTTGGAAAGAAGTTTGACTAGAATCTCTTAAAAATAAATTCACTAATTCAAGAATATTTTGTTCTATTATTTACAAGTCGACTCCAAGAAATTACTCTTAAAAAATGAGTGCTTTCCCCGCTGAAAACCCCCAAATTTCAGCTCTACTCGATAATTCCCTATAGGTCAGCTCAATCGAATCCCATTCAAAAGGAGATCAACCACAGATTTGTGACATAGATTTCCGATTTACTCTCTAATCCACAGGTTAAAAAATGAGTGCAACTTTCTCATAAAATTAGAGATTTTTGAACAAATTACCATTTTCCAGCTTAAATTCAGCTTACTTTTTAGGTTAATCTGATATTCCAAAAATCGATTTATCAGAACTCGATCACCAAATTTCACCAAAGTCCAACCCAATATATAATCTAGCTTTAGAATTATCGTATGTAAATATAAAACAGATGGATAAAGATTTGATCAATGATTTGATCAATCAATGATTTCTTTTTGTTAAAAAATCTGGAAAGAATTGATGGCTTGGTTTTTGAGAAATCATCGTGCAAACTTTTTCTAACCTCCAGCCATCAATAGCTCCAGCCATCAATAGCTCCAGCCATCAATAGCTCCAGTCATCAATAGCTCCAGCCATCAATAGCTCTAGCCATCAATAGCTCCAGCCATCGATAGCTCCAGCCATCAATAGCTCCAGCCATCAATAGCTCCAGCCATCAATAGCTCTAGCCATCAATAGCTCCAGTCATCAATAGCTCCAGTCATCAATAGCTCCAGTCATCAATAGCTCCAGCCATCAATAGCTCCAGCCATCAATAGCTCTAGCCATCAATAGCTCCAGCCATCGATAGCTCCAGCCATCAATAGCTCCAGCCATCAATAGCTCCAGTCATCAATAGCTCCAGTCATCCATAGCAATCAATGTTTCGAGATGAATTTGAATTTTGTGAAAGAGCGATCTACTTTCTTTCAAACCTAATATTTTAGCATTACAGTAAGAAAATCGAATTTTTTTATAGAACTGGTTCGCTCCAATGCCCACCGCTCCCCCACCAGTGAAAGCTTTCAAACAAGAGACACATCGAGTATTCGGTAAAGGCGGTTTTCAAGATGCTCCTTTCAGGGTAAGAAAGATTTTCAGCTTCTAATCGAAACCGTTAAACAATCAGTTTTTTTCTAATTTTTTTTCAGAATTTCTTAAATTTCTTAAATTTCTTAAATTTCTTAAACAATTTTATATGCAATACAGAATTTTCTTACTTGCACACGAATCTTTGCTTACTTTTGCAAATCTTTTCTTTTGCAGCCGATGAATGGAAGAGGCAGAGGCCGAGGCTAATTTGTTGTCAAAAATTCGACATTTTTTTCCCAATAACTAACTCGTTTTACTTCAATTTCCACTAACATTTTTGGCTTGAATTTGCTTTTAAACAAATTTTTAAACCAGAATTCAATCTTTCGACACTGGTTTGACTTCACTTTTTGCGTGTGATATTTAGCTTTTTTCTCGCTTTTTCTTTTTCCATTCGGTTTCTAATCGTGATGCTAAAAAAATGGATTTCTAGGGCTTGAGCTGATCATCTACAGCGATCAATTTCATCACCATTTCACTTTTTCTTTATCTGCTATTGTTTTGCCGCGTTTTTATGTGCCAAATTGCATCACTCACCAGTCAGCTAAGGAGAATAAAGATTAAATATTTAAATAAGATTCAAATAAGATTCAAATAAGATTCAAATAATATTCAAATAATATTCAAATAAGATTCAAATAAGATTCAAATAAGATTCAAATACATAACTAAAATTCACTTTTAAAGATGCCCACTTTCTTCTAGTTTTACTTTTTTTTATTCTAACTATAAGAAAAAAAGTCTTTTTTGATCACCAAAAGTGATTACCAATCGAGTTTTCACAAAACTTCACAAGGTAATCACTTTTGATAATCACTTTTCACAAAACTCTATTCAGAATTTTTCAAAACAAGATTCTAATATGGTATATAAATACAAAATTTATCGATTTTTTTTTGCTTTTCCTCTAGCAAGTTTGTAAATCTCCGTCGAATGCCTGTTGTGAATTCTCTCTTTTTTTTTGCATTGCCTAGCTTTGTGCACGAGTGCGTGTGTGAAATAAATTGTCTTGCGAATGATCTTTTGCTTTCGTATGCACGTAAGCTCTTTTCAGCCAAATAAGGGACAACAACAGAATTCTTTTGGACAAGGAACAACCGTTAGTTTCTTTGTCGAAGAGGCGATAACTCAGCCACCACCACCACCACCAACAACAACAACAACAACACAGGTTTGAATGAAATAAAGAAGTTTTGAAAATTGGTAGAGAGGGGATTGAATTCTCGACCGTTTGCTTATTGCTCTACCACTGAGCTATCTAGACTTTTGCTTTGCCAAGAGAAATCGATAAACTAAAGAAGAGTTTATAGACGTAAAATGTGTAGATCAGCAAAGATAGTTGTTCAAAAAATTGTTTTTCTTTGACTAGGAAAAGGCACCAGATCCTGGTAATCTTTTTCTTCCGCTTCTAGTCTATTTGTTAGAGGTTTTGAATATGGATTCCGAATTAGCTTTTAGTTTTCCCAATGAAATAGGTCAGCAATAGCATCGCAAGATCGCTAGATATCTGACATCAAAGTTTACGTCGGTTATAAGTCTTCTTTTGCCCAATGATTCATCAATATGAATCAATGAGGGCAAAGATCAAAAAGATGGCCACAAATCATAAACATTTCCACTTTGAACCCACAATTTTCTATTCAACTTTTGACCTTTCCCCTCATTGATTCATATTGATGAACCAATGATTCATATTGATAAACCAATGATTCCTATTGATAAACCTTATTTGTTTGAATTATTTGACTGGGATTTCAAGTGGGAGTTGATCAAAAAAAAGCCTCAAAAAAATCGAAAAATCGAGATCCAAGTTTATAAAGGTAAAATGTGTAGATCAGCAAAGATAGTTGTTCAAAACATTGTTTTTTTTGTCCAGGGAAAGGCACCAGATCAAGGTAATCTTTTTCTTCCGCTTCTAGTCTATTTGTTAGAGTTTTGAATGTGGTTTCCGATTTCATTTTTCAAGCAAAAGCAATTTCAAATAGCGATTCTCGAATTTCGCGTTTAGTTGAATCAAAAAAGCAACCAGCAACAGATTTTCGATGATTTTGAGTACAATAGTAGCGCAGTGGATAGTGAGAGCGCTCAGCGCAACCTTTTTTACCGGGCTTAGAATCTAGTTTGCTGAATTGAGCTGAAATACTGTCGGAATTTGGCTTAAACCTTGATTCCAAATATCTTGCGATACAGAGCTTCATTCGAAGACTTAAAAGCACATTTGAAATCACCATTCAAAACTCTATCAAATACACTATAGCTAAAGAAGATCTCTAAATCTTCAAGAGCTCAAGAAGATCTCTAAATCTAGAATTCTCTAAATCTTTTCAAGCCCACTACGACGACAAGAAGATCAACAACCGCAGAACCGATTCGCTTCTTTGTCACCACCACTCGAAAAATCGTCCCCAATCGACCGGAGCAACGCTTTGAACTCGTTGATGGAGATTCGGAAAGAGATCGGTTCATAGAAATCACAATTAGAGGAATAAATTTATATGATTCAGTGAAGAAGTGCTTCAACCGGTGAGACCAAGACCCCGTCTACCCTCCCGGCCACAACGACCTTTCAAGAATCGCCCAGAAACGTAAATCATTGTCAAATCATTGTCAGAATACAATTTGGAATTTAGAAACACTTTCGTTCCCGTCACCCAAGCTCCGACGTTTGTTTTTGCTTTTTCTGTTTCATGCATAAAATTTCAGCTTTGAGTCAACGATCCGGTCGACGAGTCAACGATTTTTCGTCCCTGAATCATTTATTAGACAACAACAACAGGCAAACGTGTTATTCAGACAAAGATTTTTGAGATTTTCAGGCTGAAGCTATTCGGAGAAGAATCCTTGCTCAACAACAAGAACAAATTCGGCAACAACTCATTCAACGACAATTCCAGCAACAGCTTTCCCAGCAACTGCTTTCTCAGCAACAGCTTTCTCAGCAACAGCTTTCTCAGCAACCGATCGTCAACAATGCGGGTAATTGTTTGCAATTGTTTGTAAAAAAGAAAATTTCAACAAAAGAGTTTTTCTTATTAAATTGTTTAAATGATAAAGTTGGAGATTAAAATTTTCATAGAAATAGTTAATTGATGGAATTGAATACATACTGTAAATACGTGGAAGCAGGTTGTGAATAGGAACACCTACCGTAAATACTGTAATAGTACCCCACCGCCCTCGTACAGTCGCGTAGTCGCAAAAGGTTTTTAGTATTTCATTTTTTTCAAAGCGCCCGTACTTTCAAAAAATGCGTCTTTGGTATCAAAAAATAGCCCTGAATTTCAGCTATTTTTTGATAAATAAACGCACATTGTAGCATAAACCAGTGCCGAGAAAAACTCGTTCAAAGCTAGACTACGCAACGCTCCGCACCGTCATTATGAAGATGGGGTACTATTACAGTATTTACGGTAGAAATAGATGGAAATTGATAAACTCGGGGGAAATCGAGTGATCCTTGATAGATCAAGAGATCTAAATAAAAACCCGTCAACCCTTAACCTAAGCTTAATGTAAATGTTGTTCAAGAGCCAGTTCAAAACTCGATTTTCTGATCGTTCAGTTGTGTGCGCTGATTTCGATTCTCGATGCCCAGCTTGGATCGGTCATTGCCCTTTCAATTCATTTGTCACTCAACGTTGCCCACTCTCTTGCGGACTTTGCCGTTTCCGTATTCAATAATTGAATTGATGATGATTGAATTTATTGTGATTTATTGAATTTTTCATTTTTCTATATATTATCGTGCTTTCCCGAAGAAATCGGCTTTAAAACATTTCCTAATAAAGATGAAATCGAAATCGAAACCACTCATCGAGCTATTTACAAGCTAAGACAACGATTAGTCACCATTATTTTGAACGGGTCAAAGCAAAAAGCCTTTTTTTCTCCTTTCCCGATAACTGTTCTCTTATCAGCTTTCATTCTTGAACAGGCAAAATCACTTTAAATTTCCGTAAATTTCCGTAAAAAGACTTTTTCATCAAAAATGATCTTGCAAAAGTTATTTTCAATTCTATTTTCTTCTTTATTCCCTACTTTTATTATCGGAGATCAACCATTGGTCATCACAAAATATGGAGCTGTTTTGGGTACATTTCAACAAGTTTCCGATGGAACATTGGTCAATGAGTTCCTTGGAATCCCATTTGCACAGCCGCCGATTGGGAATTTGAGATTTGAGGTAAGTGAGATTATCTTATCTTTGTCTTTATCTTTATCTAGGTAATCTTTATCTAAACATTTATCAAAACATACAAGCAGATTTACTATATAAATGAAATGATCTAAAAACGTAAAACAAAAAGATTGTTGAAGTTGGGTAGAGATTTTACAACCGATTTCACTAGGGAAGAGTATTTACAACTGATTTCGCTAGGGGAAGAGTACTAGTTCACTAGGGAAGAGTACTTGCAACTGATTTCGCTAGGGAAGAGTACTAGTTCACTAGGGAAGAGCACTTACAACTGATTTCGCTAGGGAAGAGTACTAGTTCACTAGGGAAGAGTACTTGCAACTGATTTCGCTAGGGAAGAGTACTAGTTCACTAGGGAAGAGCACTTACAACTGATTTCGCTAGGGAAGAGTACTAGTTCACTAGGGAAGAGCACTTACAACTGACTTCACTAGGGGAAGAGTACTAGTTCACTAGGGAAGAGTACTGATTTCACTAGGGAAAAGTACCAGTTCACTTTCGAAACGTACCAGTTCACAGTTTTCGAAACGAGACTTAGCCTATCCGATAGAAAATCGAACAGCTAATCCGAATCTGTAATCAATGCTGAATACCTGAATGCGAGATTTCTGGAATCAAAGATTTTGCTATAGCTGCTTGAGTTGCTTGAGCTGAGTTTACGCTTCTCTTTGAACGACGGTGGTGGTGTAGCGGGTAGTGTGCTTGTCGACGGAAAAGATTGGATTCATCTAGTGAATTCGAATCCCCCATTTGACAAGCCTGACAAGCTTACGTTTCATTTAAAGATTTGGATTCCCCGTTCGATTTTCTATTGCTGAGCTTCTATTGCTGAGCTTCTGTTGCTGAGCTTCTATTGCTGAGCTTCATGAGCTCAATGAATGTAAAGTATCACCTCCAAAAGATTCAAACTTTTAAACTTTCTCATTTCAGAAACCAAAACCACCAATCACATGGACGAGACCGATGAACACGACAATTTTCTCGAAAGGATGTACACCTTGCAAGAAGTTAAAGAAAGATTTTACAATGATTAGCTAATATTTTTAGAGATAACACTTATTATAGTGAAGATTGTTTGTATTTAAATGTTTGGTCAAACGATTTGGCGGTGAGTGAAGGTGCAATTAAAAGACAATTTTGATCAGGGTCTCCAACCAGTGATTGTTTTCATTCATGGCGGCGCTTTTATGGAAGGAAACGCTTACACTCATCCAGCTAAACAATGGAGAGAGGTGAGGGTTATCAATTTTAAACTCTTAATCACATCAAGCTACAATAAAGCTATATTAAAGCTACAATAAAGCTACATTAAAGCTACAATAAAGCCACATTAAAGCTACAATAAAGTTACATTAAAGCTACAATAAAGCTACAATAAAGCTACAATAAAGCTACAATAAAGCTACAATAAAGCCACATTAAAGCCACACTAATAAAGCTAAATTAAAGCTTTTCCTCTCGAATTCCTTTAGATTTTTGCTCGTCGCGGTGTCGTTGCAGTAACAATCCAGTATCGACTTGGCCCTTTCGGCTTTCTATCACTTAATGACTCAAAGATTTCACCAAATCTTGGTCTTTGGGATCAAAATTTAGCGCTAAAATGGATTCAGGAGAATATAGGAAAATTTGGAGGTGAAAAGAAACGAAAACTTGTTTTAAAATGTTCTCTAGGTGATTCAAAACGGGTAACAATTTACGGAGAATCGGCTGGATCGATGTCCGTCGCTGATCACACGATATCGCCACAGTCAAAGGGTGAGTTCGGTGAAAAATTAAAAAAAAAACAATTCTTAATCATTAACAAACAATCGTTCTAGGCCTGTTTGCGAATGTAATCGAAATGTCCGGCTCGAATATGGCGTCGTTTGGACGAGGGCTGAACACAGTCTCCTTTTCACAGGGATACGTGCAAGCTCTTGGTTGTGCGAATGCTTCCGATTATAAAGTGTAGGGAAAGCAGCTCTTCTCGGTTTTTTTCATTTCAAAGCTATCATATACAAAACCCAAAGCTAATTCGATTCTTTTACACATCTATTGGGTTGGTGAATTGAAAAGCCAATACAATCTATATATTTTCAAGCTTCAAGCTTAAATATTTCAAGTGTTCTTTGTGCGGCTGGGTAATCGCTTTCCATCTAGCAAATTCTTCGTGTATAGGGTGCTTTCCTTTTGAAATATTCCTTGTGCCGTTGGATAATCGTTCTCCATTTTACAAACCCTCCGGTATAGGGTGCTTCGCTTTTGGAATCCTTAAAAGGGGAAAGCCTTTTAGTTTTGCCATAGCTCAGGCTCAGGCTCAGGCTTAGGCTCAGGCTTAGGCTCAGGCTCAGGCTCAAGCTTAGGCTCAGGCTCAGGCTCAGGCTTAGGCTCAAGCTTAGGCTCAGGCTCAGGCTCAGGCTTAGGCTTAGGCTCAGGCTTAGGCTCAAGCTTAGGCTTAGGCTCAAGCTTAGGCTTTGGTTTTGTCATAGCTCCCAGATTTCTGAATCAAAACTTTATCAAAAAAATTCAGATGTCTTCAATCGAAATCAGCCAACGATTTTCTGAATGTAAAGTATGGTTACGGTGATGTAAATTTGTTCTTTTTGGCATCAAAATTAAACAATTTCCTTAGATTTGTGGCCTCTCTGGTCTGAATTGGTTGGGTTTTGGGCCGATGCTTGATGGAGAGTTTCTGCCGACAAATGTGAGAATTGAATCGAAGATTTTTAATCACGAAAGATCAGATACAAGAAGCGATGAGAAATGCCGACAAAATCCCTACAATTATGGGCATCAATCAAAAAGAGGGACGAGCTTTTAGTTCGTTTTTTTTCTAAGCATGAGAAGAGTGAAAGTGAAATATAGACCGTATTTTCTCCAATAGTAGTGAGCCGAATTGATGACTATTTTATGGTTTCGGGGCTTTTGCAGAAGCTCAACACTCTAATCCCCCACAAGATCTCATCGTCAGCTACATTTTCTGATCTCACATCGATAGGTTCTGATAAGCGGTTCTCGAGATTTCGAGCAATTTTTCGAGCAAGGCTTGGCTCGAAAGGGCGACGCTTAGTGCAGAGAAAATTAGAGAAACTACTATTAGAGAAAATACGGTACACATGTATCATGGATACTAGACAAAGAGCTAGCTAAAGACAAAGAACTACTAGAGCTACTAGAGCTACTAGAGCTACTAGAGCTACTAGAGCTACTAGAGCTACTAGAGCTACTAGAGCTACTAGAGCTACTAGAGCTACTAGAGCTACTAGAGCTACTAGAGCTACTAGAGCTACTAGAGCTACTAGAGCTAACTTTTCTCTAGTAGCTCTACGAAATCTTACAGCTCTCCAAGACGACTCACTCCCAATGTCCCTTCCCGCAAGCGAATGGGGTTTAGCGACGAGCGCATCTATGAAAAATTATGTGCAAAACTGGATGGTCAACATTGTAAGAATTTCCTTTTAAGCTTTGACTCTTAACTTAAATTCCTAGGGCTACACTCCACAAGAGAAAGAAAACGCGCTAAACGAGATCTTTGCATTCTTTTCTGAAAATAAAACCAATGACACCGATCATTACTTCTGGATTGAGCAATATGTGCTGGTGAGGATTTGGAAATGAATTTATTTTGAGAAATAATTTTGTAAAAGGTGGCAATGAAAGATTCCCTTAGAGGGATTGAACCCTCGAGCTTTTCGTGAAAGATACTTTAACCACTGAGCTATCTTTTAGACTTACTCGGATTTCATCATGAACATCCCAATTGTGAGAGAAGCCGTCGAAAAGACGAAAGCCGGAGTACCAGTTTATGCGTTTCTCTTTGAAATGTCCAATCCAGCACAATGGCCAACAAACTATCCTGTACAAGGTTTCTTTGATTCAAATCTCAAACTCAAACTCAAACTTTGAATCATTGATTCATTGAACCCAATCATTGAGGTCCAGGTTCCAGGTCCAGGTCCAAGTCCAGGTCCAGGTCCAGGTGTCCAGGTGTCCAGGTTCCAGGTCCAGGTGTCCAGGCTCCAGGTCCAGGTGTCCAGGTTCCAGGTACAGGTCCAGGTTCCAGGTACGGGTCCAGGTGTCCAGGCTCCAGGTCCAGGTGTCCAGGTTCCAGGTACAGGTCCAGGTGTCCAGGTTCCAGGTCCAGGTGTCCAGGCTCCAGGTCCAGGTGTCCAGGTTCCAGGTACGGGTCCAGGTTCCAGGTACGGGTCCAGGTTCCAGGTACGGGTCCAGGTGTCCAGGCTCCAGGTCCAGGTGTCCAGGTTCCAGGTACAGGTCCAGGTGTCCAGGTTCCAGGTCCAGGTGTCCAGGCTCCAGGTCCAGGTGTCCAGGTTCCAGGTACGGGTCCAGGTTCCAGGTACGGGTCCAGGTTCCAGGTACGGGTCCAGGTGTCCAGGCTCCAGGTCCAGGTGTCCAGGTTCCAGGTACAGGTCCAGGTGTCCAGGTTCCAGGTCCAGGTGTCCAGGCTCCAGGTCCAGGTGTCCAGGTTCCAGGTACGGGTCCAGGTTCCAGGTACGGGTCCAGGTTCCAGGTACGGGTCCAGGTTCCAGGTACGGGTCCAGGTTCCAGGTACGGGTCCAGGTGTCCAGGCTCCAGGTCCAGGTGTCCAGGTTCCAGGTACAGGTCCAGGTGTCCAGGTTCCAGGTCCAGGTGTCCAGGCTCCAGGTCCAGGTGTCCAGGTTCCAGGTACGGGTCCAGGTTCCAGGTACGGGTCCAGGTTCCAGGTACGGGTCCAGGTTCCAGGTACGGGTCCAGGTGTCCAGGCTCCAGGTCCAGGTGAAATTTTCCAGGTTCCACACATGCCGGCGAATATCCGTGGATCCTCGAGATGCATCTCAATTTCAACTACACCCAAGCCGACATCACCGTCAAAACCCTTATCCAAGAACTTTTCATTCAGTTTTGTAAAACTGGGTAGGTTAAAAGAGAATATTTGAAAGATTTTCCCTTCCAGAAACCCGTCAATCCCTTCAATGCATTGGAATCCATTCACCGTACAAAACTTTGATTATTTAAGTGTCAATCCGCAAACGCAAATGAAAACTGGTGAGTTTTGAGGAGAGATTTTGACTTTATAAAGTCATGAAGACTAAAGAGAATTGTATTATCTGATGTCACTTTAGGATGGTTCATGAAAAACTACAAATTCTGGACGGAAACGATGGCCAAATACAGTTACGATTACATCTCGCAAAGCAATTGGATCTATTAATCAAGAGACAATGTTTATACAGAAGCTGAATAAAGCTCTTCAATTCAATTCCCATAAAATCTCTATGTAAAGAAAAAGATTAAGAATTCAATTAAGCTAAAAGTCTAAAACTGTAAAAAAAAGTGCTTTCTTTCATGGCCAACAAACATTGCTCAACATTGGTAACTCAAAAGTTGCAAATATTGTCTGACAATTGACTCACAACAAGCTTTTGTTCAATAGAAATCAAGTTTTAAAGCATTTACTCTCTTTAACAAATCTAATTTCATTTTCTTGTCCAATCCTATTGATTTCTAAGCAAAAAGCTGTGAAAAAAGTCTTTGAGATTTCAAAATGCCACGAGAAATCCATTGAGAATAGGTAAAGCAATCTTTTTTTTGTGTCTTGAATACCGTCTTTTCTCTAATGGTAGTGCGTCGCCGCGTCGCCGTCGTGAGCGTCGTGAGCGTCGCCCTTTCGAACCCGGCTTTGTTGCCGTTTACTCGTACCTTCTGAACAAGTCAGGCCAGGAAAAGCAGGGCCAGAAGCCAGAACTTAGAACCAGGCTTGGCCCAGCTAGGGCAAATGACCTGTCCAGAAAGTCTTTACGCTCCTTTTTGTTACTAGAGAAATCAAGTACAAATGTGAAAGCTGTGAAAAAAGTCTTTGAGATTTCAAATTTCAAAATGTCACGTGAAATCCATTGAGAATAGGTAAAGCAATCTTTTTTTTTGTGTCTTGAATAATCAAATTTGATTTTTTTTTCGTTAACAAATTGCAAATTAAAACTGATCCCAATCTCACATAAAAGAGTTGAAAAGAAATTGAAATGAAATTACAAAATAACAAAAAGAAAACAGAATTACAGATGGAATAACCGAAATTTGGCCTTAATCCCATTTAGTTTTGTTTTGATTTTATGTTTGATCTTTGATCTTTTCATGTTAAATCTTTTTTTAAAAGCTCACTTTTGGCTTTAACTGATAGTTAGCCAAAGATTGTTTTAAAAAAGCAGAACTGGAGAAGCTGTGAGAGTTGTTGTGAGAGTTGTTGAGAGTTGGCCTTTAGCTTGTCTTGGCCTTTAACTTGTCTTGGCCTTTAGCTTGTCTTGGCTTTTAGCTTCCCTTGGCCTTTAGCTTGTCTTGGCCTTTAACTTGTCTTGGCCTTTAGCTTGTCTTGGCTTTTAGCTTCCCTTGGCCTTTAGCTTGTCTTGGCCTTTAGCTTGTCTTGGCTTTTAGCTTCCCTTGGCCTTTAGCTTGTCTTGGCCTTTAGCTTGTCTTGGCCTTTAGCTTCCCTTGGCCTTTAGCTTGTCTTGGCCTTTAACTTGTCTTGGCCTTTAGCTTGTCTTGGCTTTTAGCTTCCCTTGGCCTTTAGCTTGTCTTGGCCTTTAGCTTGTCTTGGCCTTTAGCTTGTCTTGGCCTTTAGCTTGTCTTGGCCTTTAGCTTGTCTTGGCCTTTAGCTTGTCTTGGCCTTTAGCTTGTCTTGGCCTTTAGCTTGTCTTGGCTTTTAGCTTCCCTTGGCCTTTAGCTTCTCTTTGCCTTTAGCTTGTGAGAGTTGCTTAGAGTTGTGAGAGTTGTTTTTACGCTAAAGAAAGTAATTGCAGCTTTTAAGAGGAATAAAGTTAGATAAATTAATAGAAAATCTGGAATCAGCATCCTGGAAAACCCTATTATATAGATTTCAGGCTTTCTGGCTAACATTTTTGTCTTTTTGGCTTTTTTTCAAGCTTTTGAAGCAGTGAATCCAACAATTCAAACTGAAATTGTGGCAAGAACATTAAAAGAACATTAAAAGAACAAAATCATCAAAATCATCAAAAAAAAAACAACTTGATGCCCTGATGCCTGAGGCAAAACAAAATTCAGACACCACGATTGGCCTTGAAAAATCAATCAACATCAAAAGAAAAACCAACCAGACACAAAACAATGGCCACTTTTTTTTTTCGAGCACCTTGTCGCTCTAGGAATTGCGTTTTAAAAATAGATTTTCCCCAGGTTTCTAAAATATTTTTCAAAAATTCTGCATTCTGTGGATATTTTTATTTTTTTAAATGAAATTTTGAGGGATTTTGAGCCATTTTTTGGAGTAATTTGTTCAAAAATAATGCTTGGCAAAAGAAAAAAAAATTGATTTCTCTGGGGAGGAGATTTTGTGGATTTTTTTTTGATTTCTAAGGGATTTTTGAAGAAGAAGAAATGTTAGCCGATCTTTTTTGAGCGTTTATTTTTCTAAATTTCAAATTTAGGTTGCTCATTTGTACCTCAGTTTTTCGGTAATCGGGGAATTTACAGAAAACAGTGTATATGTTACGTCCTAATCTGAGGAGACGTCCATCTCCGATCCGGACAGCCGAATCTGAGGAGATTCATTCTCTTCCGAAACGGACGTCCATCTCAGAGTGGGACGTCCATCTCAGAGTCGGACGTTCATCTCAGAGTCGGACGTCCATCTCAGAGTCGGTCGTTCATCTCAGAGTCGGACGTCCATCTCAGAGTCGGACGTCCATCTCAGAGTCGGACGTTCATCTCAGAGTCGGACGTCCATCTCAGAGTCGGACGTTCATCTCAGAGTCGGACGTCTATCTCAGAGTCGGACGTCCATCTCTGAGTCGGACGTTCATCTCAGAGTCGGACGTCCGTTTCAGAGGAGAATGAATCTCCTCAGATTCGGACGTCCGGATCGGAGATGGACGTCTCCTCAGATTTGGACGTAACATATACATCTCTCGTCAGAGTTTTAAATTCGATAAAATCACTACTTTCATTGTGTCTAGACTGACTGATTTCTACGTAAATAATGCGTTTTCTAAAAGATAGCCATTGCAAAAACAATGACCGTAATCTGCTGCTCGTGCTTAAAACATTTTTTTTTCAAATGAGAAATCAGAAAATTTTTTCAAAATCAACTTCAGATGCCGCTTTTATCCCCCGCGGAAACTCTTTATTTGTTTAAAAAGTACAAAATTTTTTTTCTAAATCTTCTCATTTCTCATTTCAATTGAAACCGGCTTCAACAAACATCAAATTTTTCATTTTTTTTTTGTTGGCTACAATGTGCAAATGTCTTTTATTTCTTTTAATGATATCAAAGAATTTCGAGATACATTTTTTCTTAACATTTTGTAGGACAAATTTTCAGCTTTGTTCACCTTTTCTTGGAGTTCTTCAATTGTAAAGAACAATTGAAAAGCTTTTTGAAACAAAGATTTGATAATAACGATAGTTTTCAAAAGCAAAAATGTTTTAGAAAAGGTTTCTTTTAATTAAACTTTCTTTGCTTTTCTGATACCGTATTTTCTCTAATAGTAGTGAGCCGATTTGATCACTATTTTACAGTTTCCAAGCTTTTGCAGAAGCTCAACACTCAAATCCCCCACTAGATCTCATCGTCAGCTACATTTTCCGATCTCACATCGATAGATTCTGATAAGCGGTTCTCGAGATTTCGAGCAATTTAGGCGACGCTCAGGGTGCACCCCGGCGAGCCGCGTTTGATGACTATTTTACAGTTTCCAAGTTTTTCCAGAAGCCCAACACTCAAATTCCCCACTAGATCTCATCGTCAGCTATATTTTCCGATCTCACATCGATAGGTTCTGATAAGCGGTTCTCGAGATTTCGAGAAATTTAAGCGAAGCTTACGGCGCACTACTATTAGAGAAAATACGGTAATTTAACCTAGTTTTAACTTAATTTAGCTATCAATTTAAAGAAAATTAATGGAACTGATTGATTTGTTTGGTCTTCTCGTCGATTCACTCATCCCTTTGGCTTGTTTGATGGACGTTTTCCTCTTGACCACATTCGTTCACGATAAATCACTGTGCCCGGTGTTCGCTTGGTGCTTGAAAAATCTTTGTAAGTTAGCTTAAAGCTAAACGAGTATCGATAGGATCGATAGAACTGATCGAGTTCGCTTAAAGCTGCGTGAATCTAAAGTAAGAGAGGGTGGACTTGAACGAGCTTTCGGTTAGCCGAACGTGGAAGCCATTGCCACGGAAGATGAAATAAGTTGAGAATAGATAAGGCACGATACAAAGCTATTAAAACAATCATCATTTGTGACTCATAAGTACGCAAGAAATGTAAGAAATGCAGTTAGCATTCGGCCAATTATCTTTTTCAGTTATTACCCATCTCGCCATTTATTTCATAGAGATTTTCATCCGGGATTTTGCCGCAAATGGTGTCTTTATCGACTTTTTCATGGAAAATCAGAAAATTGTTGGAAAAGTGAGATTATAATAAAGTTCTATATTTGAATTTCTTTAGTTCTTTAGATTTTCTTTGCAGTAGCAGTTGTTTGGGGTGCTCAAGTGATCCATTGGAATATGCTTATGGGAATATCGAGGCTCTGGTGTGTGCTGGCAGTGATCTCGTTCAAAAAGGTAAGAAAAGATCTTTCAACAAATTCATTTCTTCTTCAGTATCTGACTTCTCGAATGAGATTGGTGATCTCGTGCGTTGTTTGGGGTTTTAATGGGATCTTGTGCTTGCATATCTTCATCTTCGTTGATTGTAGATATTGGCCAATGGTGAGTGGATTTTGAAAGGCTTCATGGCAAGTGAATCAAGCGATAAGCCAGGAAAATTTCTTCAGATCCAGTTTTGGATCAAAACCTGGAAACTGGTAGTTCTTTGCTTTAAACGGCTGATCTTTTTGCTGAATTGATCTATGCTGTGCCCGGTGTTCGCTTGGTGCTTGAAAAGTCTTTGTAAGTTAGCTTAAAGCTAAACGAGTATCGATAGGATCGATAGAACTGATCGAGTTCGCTTATCTCGTGCGTTGTTTGGGGTTTTAATGGGATCTTGTGCTTGCATATCTTCATCTTCGTTGATTGTAGATATTGGCCAATGGTGAGTGGATTTTGAAAGGCTTCATGGCAAGTGAATCAAGCGATAAGCCAGGAAAACTTCTTCAGATCCAGTTTTGGATCAGAATCTGGAAGCTGGTAGTTCAAAACTGGTAGTTCTTTACTTTAAACTGCTGATCTTTTTGCTGAATTAATCTGCTGTAAAATTCCAGGTGAAAAGCAAGAGCTAAGCCTGGAATCTGGTCACTCTTAGTTCACTCTTAGTTCACTCTTAGTTCAGTCTTAGTTCTTTCCTAGTAGCTATCATTGTTTCCTTGATAACTTTTATTGTAAATGTTCCAATTATCTTCGATTGTTTAGGGTGAAAACTCGATTTCTTTCGGGACGGTGACTCCAAACATAATCACAACACTTTACGCATCATACGGTCAAAATGTTCCCTTATTGATCACCATTTTCTCCTATACACTCTTGATTCTTGCTCTTATGAGAAAAAAGACGATTCCCAGTAAAGTTACACAAAGGATTCTTGTGGCTCAATTTATGATTAATATGCGTAAGTTTAGCAGGATATTAAATGAGTTTAGCTGCATATTAAATGAGTTTAGCTGGGTGTGCAGAAAAGTGGCTCTTTTCTGTGGCTCTTTTCTGAATATGAAAGGACACTGGGTATTAAATGAGTTTAGCTGGGTATTAAATAAATTTAAATAGCTGGATATTAAATCCTTGATATAAATGCTATAAGATTTCATTTATATCAAAGAAGTATAAAGGAAAGTATAGGAAGTGTACTTTCTTGATAAGTACAGTACTGGACAATGAAATATGATATTTGAAAAACGATCGTCACTTTCGCGCGTCTGTAACTCCCTTGTCTTTGAGGCTAAACTTGTGGATCAATTTATGATAAATATTCGTAAGTTTAGCAGGATATTAAATGAGTTTAGCTGGGTATTCAATGAGTTTAGCTGGGTACTAAATGAGTTTAGCTGCATATTAAATGAGTTTAGCTGGATATTAAATAAATTTAGCTGGATATTAAATCCTTGATATGCTATTAAATCCTATAAATGCTATAAAATTTCATTTATATCAAAGAAGTATAAAGGAAAGTATAGGAAGTATACTTTCTTGATGAGTACAGTACTGGACAATGAAATATGATATTTGAAAAACGATCGTCACTTTCTGTAACTCCCTTGTCTTTGAGGCTAAACTTGTGGATCAATTTATGATAAATATGCGTAAGTTTAGCAGGATATTAAATAAATTTAGCTGGGTATTAGATGAGTTTAGCTGGGTATTAAATAAATTTAGCTGGGTATTAGATGAGTTTAGCTGGATATTAAATGAGTTTAGCTGGATATTAAATGAGTTTAGCTGGATATTAAATGAGTTTAGCTGGATATTAAATAAATTTAGCTGGATATTAAATCCTTGATATGCTATTAAATCCTATAAATGCTATAAAATTTCATTTATATCAAAGAAGTATAAAGGAAAGTATAAAAAGTTTACTTTCTTGATGAGTACAGTACTGGACAATGAAATATGATATTTGAAAAACGATCGTCACTTTCGCGCCCCTGTAACTCCCTTGTCTTTGATTTTAAACTATTAGTGTTATACATTTTCCGAAAGCTCTTTTCAAGGGCTACACAATGGTAATATTGATATTTAGAAATACGGTAAAGACAAGGGAGTTACAGACGCGCGAAAGTGACGATCTTTTTTCAAATATCATATTTCATTGTCCAGTAGTGTAAGTAAAATGAATATACGCACACAAGCTAGAGAAATGCTCAACAGGAAGTTTACCCAGGAAACCATTACGTACGGCTAATGTTTAAAAGTTTAAAAACAAAACACCTTACCTGATTAGGCGTTGTTGGATCTTAAAGGATTTTCACTCTTAAGTCTCAAGTCTTAAAGGATTTTCAGCTAAACTTCTCTCATGTTTTTTGACAATCTATGGCCAAGTGCAAGCATTCATTTTACCGACGATTCTACCGGAAATCGATTTGAAACTCTATTGGTTTTTAGCGTAAGTTAGACTCTTTTCTAAAGTCAATTGAGAATTTTAGGCAATTAGGTGGAGTTGGTTACGGGATAAATGCGACGATCGTTGTGTTCATTTGCTTTCCACAGGTATCACAAAAGCTCTACCTTTACAACTTATCTGTTCTTTTCGTTTCCCCTTTTCTTTCCTTCTTTCTTTCTGTCTTTTCCTTCTTTCTCTTGGCAGCATGGGTTACCGGATAGCTGAGTGATTAGAGCAATTGACCGGAAAGCTTAGTGGTTCAATTTTCTCTACAGAAATCTAGTTTTTCTTACTAATTCTTGAACTTTTTATTATAAGTTCTTTTCAGGCACGACAACGTCTGCGGAAAATCGTATATCGAAAAGAGAAATCATCATCCCGAGCCGATCAGTCATTACACACTCTACAAACGAAAGAAATCGTCACTCTTTACTGAAAAAAACGTTTATATTCAAGTATATTCAAGTTCTTCGAATAAATAACTTTCACAATTTTCTTCTCAAAATTTCTTTTACTACAAACAAACTTCAGAAAGTTCAAAGTTAGTGTTGAATAGGAAATGGATTACTGTAACGACGACTTTAGACGTTAACTTTAAAAATAAACCACAAAAAATTTACTTTTTAAAGATGTTATCAGGAAAATAACTCGATGCTAACTCGTATTTTCTCGAATAGTAGTGCTTTGTCTCATGACCAACAAACATTGCTCAACATTGGTAACTCAAAAGTTGCAAATATTGTCTGACAATTGACTCACAACAAGCTTTTGTTCAATAGAAATCAAGTTTTAAAGCATTTACTCTCTTTAACAAATCTAATTTCATTTTCTTGTCCAATCCTATTGATTTCTAAGCAAGAAGCTGTGAAAAAAGTCTTTGAGATTTCAAAATGCCACGAGAAATCCATTGAGAATAGGTTAAGCAATCTTTTTTTTGTGTCTTGAATACCGTATTTTCTCTAATAGTAGTGCACCCTGAGCGTCGCCCTTTCGAACCCGGCTTTGTTGCCGTTTACTCGTACCTTCTGAACAAGTCAGGCCAGGAAAAACAGGGCCAGAAGCCAGAACTTAGAACCAGGCTTGGCCCAGCTAGGGCAAATGACCTGTCCAGAAAGTCTTTACGCTCCTTTTCGTTACTAGAGAAATCAAGTACAAATGTTAGGCTGTCGAGAAAGTCTTATTTTGGATTTTCTCTGACCTAGAACAAGACAAAAAGGAATCCTTTGAAAGAAAAAAGAAAACTAAAGCTTTTTCAAAGACTTAAAGGGTCAAAGCTTTAAATTTCTTCAAAGAACTTTACCAAAAGCTCTTTCCCTTTTTTTGTCCAGCTCTTCGCCACTTCCTGTTTCCAGGAAGTGCCCAGAGTGCACCACGAGGAGGTGGCTGGACTTCGCACTCCGCCACCCTGTAGTCCGAAGACTCTTGGGATCCGAGGTCCACGTCTGGTCCTTGGCGATGGCACCGACTCCCGCAGCAAGAATGCTCAGCTTGCTAAGGTGCGCGCAACGTAATTAGGAGAATGCTCCGAAGTTACACTTTGTTGATGCTAAAAGGGATTGATCCAGTCGGTTTAAGAACCTCACGGTTCCTCCAATGGGGTGTCCAAACTTCCGCCATCTAGACGACTGTCGAGTAGCGGACAGCTGACGGAAGCCGAAGCCCAGAGGGAGCATAATTGTAATCCGGTTACGAGCAACAGACCATTCTGCCTCCCTCCATGGGTGGCAGTGCGGAATAGTAGCGATTCCACGAACTTCAGCTGTATCCCTCAAGGGAGACTGTGGGTCTTTCCACAACATCCTTTCGGTCAACCTTTCGGTTTTTTGTTGCTCGGGGCTATTCGTACAATCGACCCGGGCCAGCCCATGGCTCCGGGCGCCGCCTTCCACGAACGGGTTAGGCACCGATCAAGCGAGAAGCAAGCTTCTTCAAACTCTCTCGTGAAAAATCGTTTATACTCTTTCAACCCGATGGGACCGATGTGAGAGTGGACACAAAGGCACGGCAACAGCGAAGGGACTCGCTATAAGTAAAAGCCCTCTGTCAGAAAGTGCGCGATTATGCTGGTGCACAAAGAACTAAAGCTCCTTTAAAGCTCGTTCAAAGGAACTTCAAACTATAAAGGAACTATAGAGGAACTATAAAGGAGCTTTAAAGGAACTTTAAAGAAGCTTTCAAGGAGCTTTAAAGGAACTATTCAGTCAACTAGGTGGATCATTTTATGGAATCAATGCAACACTTAATGTATTTGCTTGTTTTCCAGATGTCGGTCAAGATTCAATACTCAATATCCAATATTCAATGTATTTAAGAATCTGGAAATCTTGAATTTTAATAAATTATACTGTAAATGCTGTCTTTCTTATTGTTTCAACAACAATTCTTTCAATATTTCTGAGACACCAGGCGAAATTTGGGCACAGATTCTTCTATTGTAATCATTTTTCTTTGTTATTGATTGTCTAGTTCAATAATCCAAGTTTGTGCGGTGCAATTAACCTATTCGACTCTTCGACTTTGAGGCGATTTTGAGGAATTAACTGCAATAAACTTATTCGACTCTTGATCCACACTACAAATCAAGCCTTAGTTAACGGGTCTTTTTTGTGGGAAACTTTGCCGAGATACACTACTGGACAATGAAATATGATATTTGAAAAAAGATCGTCACTTTCGCGCGTCTGTAACTCCCTTGTCTTTGCCGTATTTCTAAATATTAATATTACCATTGTGTAGCCCTTGTAAAGAGCTTTCGGAAAATGTATAACACTAATAGTTTAAACTCAAAGACAAGGGAGTTACAGGGGCGCGAAAGTGACGATCGTTTTTCAAATATCATATTTCATTGTCCAGTACTGTATGTCTTAGCTCATCGAAGAATTGAGATTTTCAAAGATCTTGGTGATTTGCTATTGTTGAAATGAAGTTTGTGCTTGAATTGAGTTCAATTTGACTATTTTCTCACCAAATCTTTCACTGAAAATTGTGCGTACCTTTCATGTGGCTCGTAGGGAAAAACGGCGTCTGGCACATTGCTCCGAACAGGGGTGACCGGAAAGCCCTCGCCACCGGTTTAATTACCCAAGTTTGGTGCGTCGGAAAGCGCGCGTTTACGTACGGGCAAAAAGAACGAAAATCTTTCTGATCTCTGAAAAGGCCTTCGGACCTTAACCTTTGCCAGATCGCCGCGTTTACGTGAACGCACAAAGAACGAAAATCTTTTGAAAGCTAACTTTACAATAAATCCTTTCATTTATCACCCATTTTGCCGTATTTTGCTGAAATTTTTATTTGAAATTTGAGAATTTGTCTGTTGAGAATAGCAAATGGCTTATTCCATGATTTCAGATTTTTAAAGCAGAGAATCTTGTTGGAAAGGTAAGCTTTCAAGTTATGATTATTTATTCGAGCTTTTGCTGGCATTTTGGATCAGTAAGAGATGATCAGTAAGAGAAGACAGATGCCGAGAACTGAGAAGACCATTGATTGACCTTCCATTATGATTAGATTTGGACAGAGAACTTTTTAGTGTGCTCAGGTGACTCATTGGAATATGTTAATGGCTGTATTGTGAAGTCTTTTGAATCCTTGTCTTTTGGAAGGATAACTAAACAAATTGGAAATGATTTGGCTTCCCTTTTTCAGACAGACTAATGTTATAATGCTATAATGTTCTAACGCGTTTGTTAAAGCACGAAGTACAGGCGAAGTATCAACCTTTTAGTATCAACAAAGTGTAACTTCGGAGCATTCTCCTAATTACGTTGCGCGCACCTTAGCAAGCTGAGCATTCTTGCTGCGGGAGTCGGTGCCATCGCCAAGGACCAGACGTGGACCTCGGATCCCAAGAGTCTTCGGACTACAGGGTGGCGGAGTGCGAAGTCCAGCCACCTCCTCGTGGTGCACTCTGGGGCACTTCCTGGAGACAGGAAGTGGCGAAGAGCTGGACAGAAAAAGGGAAAGAACTTTTGGAAGTTTAAGAAAAAAATTTAAAGCTTCGACCCTTTAAGAATTGTTAGGAAAGCGACATTACGTGAAAACCAATGGAGCTTCAAATCCATTCTTGGCAATACATTGAGCAATAAGATCCCATGTACTTGACTGTAAACTGTCGTGCAAGAAAAGAAAGTTTTCCCTGAAGATTGGAGAATTGAGAAGTTTTGCTTTAACTTCACTAACATATATTGATGAGCAATTCTGCTGAGGATGATCTGCTTGGGAATCGTTTTCCTGGCCAATAGTGCTTTAGAATGTGTAGGCAATCATTGTGATCAGAAGGGAAAACTTTTGACCAAATAAGACGTACAGCGAAGTGATTACATTTGGAGTCACCGTGCCAAAGGAGATCGAGTTTTTTGTTGCGCTTTCCTAGCTTCCTAGCTATCAATAATCGAACTACTAGTAAAAGCCAGGGTATGATTCTGTTTTTGATCATTTCAATCTCAAGTTTTCTATATTTTTCTGACTTTTTATCGTAGCTGGCTCTTTAAAGAAAGCCGTTTCTTTTCATATCTTTATCGTTTAGTTTTACAAGAAAGAATTTCAATTTATGCCGATCAACAATCTCTTGGCATTACAATTGCCCAGCTACGAAAATCGACAAAATATTGCAGATGGACAGCACAATATTTTGTGTCCATTTATGTATGTGGCGAATAGCCACTAAAAGTTAACTCTGACAGCCTAAAAATTGGAAAAATATTGAGGAAATCGGTGCGCCTTCATTTTATTTCGCGCCCCAAATCATTTATTGTTTTGTAGCTTGTTAGCTGAGTATCTTGTGTTAAAGCCTATATAAGGCAACTGTTGTTCATTTGTTTTTGTTATCTTTCATTTTGTTTTTTCTGCTTTCCTCAGATTTTGTGTAAAAGTGTGTCCTAATTAGGACGAAATTGCTTCTGTTTTTATCGTCACTTTAATTCAATTGTCGATATTGTGTGAAAGTTGCTCAAGTGAGAGCCCAAAGATTCCGAATCAATCGGCTATTGAATAAAGTGCTTTTTTTAGTTCAAGAGAGATCAGATATCTCAAAACAAGAAATAACGTGTCTTGAGTGAAGAGTACCAAGCACGCAAAGAATATTTCTTTACAATGTACAATTGATGAATCGATTTTCATCTTACGTGCGTTGAAGTTCTAAAACGAATGATTGACCAGTGCTTTCTCCTGTACTTTGTGCTTTAACAAACGCGCTAGAACATTATAGCTATAGCTAGCTATTAGTCTGTCTGAAAAGCGAAGCCAAATCGAAGCGGATGGAAATCTTGAATTTTAATATATTATACTGTAAATGCTGGTTCTTTAGGCTTAAGGCCGACTCCGCAGAATGCTTTACAGTGAGCGTTGTGGAAATGTCAAAAATTTATTTAATCAAGGCTTATGAAAAGAAAATAGTGGATTTGAAGAAGCTAGTTTGGAGAAACAGAAAGACTTACAAAAGGTAAGGCTGTTCTTTAGGCTTTAGCAAACGCAAACTTTCTGGTAGACTCAAAGTCGAGTGTCAGAGAGGAAATCGTTCTGGAAGACTCAAAGTCTAGTGTCAGAGAGGAAATCTTTGCCAAAACACAAAACACAAGCAAGGAAAGCCCGTAAACTTTTGCACTAAAATAAATAAAGCTCAGAGAAGCGAGAGTTTACGCTACTTTTCACAATTCAACCAAAAACAAAATCTATTTAAGAATCTGGAAATCTTGAATTTGAGTATATTATACTGTAAATGCTGGTTCTTTAGGCTTAAGGCCGACTCTGAAAAACACGCAAATACAGCAAGTGTTGCATTGATTCCATAAAATGATCCACCTAGTTGACTGAAAATCTTTCAAATGCTTTACAGTGAGCTTTCTGGAAACGTCAAAAATTTATTTAATCAAGGCTTATGAAAAGAAAATAGTGGATTTGAAGAAGCTAGTTTGGAGAAACAGAAAGACTTACAAAAGATAAGGCTGTTCTTTAGGCTTTAGCAGACGCAAACTTTCTGGAAGACTCAAAGTCGAGTGTCAGAGAGAAAATCTTTGCCAAAACACAAAATACAAGCGAGGAAAGCCCGTAAACTTTTGCACTAAAATAAACAAAGCTCAGAGAAGTGAAAGTTTACGCTACTTTTCACACTTCAACAAAAACGGATCGTTTCCGAACTGCTGGTATCAAACAATTGTAAACACTAAAGGCTAATTTCCAAATAATAAAGCAAACAGCTAACACGGCGATACAAATAAACAATTGAAGAGATGCAAGAGGAACAAGTGAAGCTATTTTAGCACATTGATAAGGATGATGATGTCCAAGTTTGTTTGAAATGACAGCAATGATAGAAATTGTATCGGAAATCATGAAGGAAGCGATGAGAAGATTGAGAGAGAAACGAGGATAGATTAGAGAATCCATTTCTTTATTGCGAGTGATGATCAGTAAGAGAAGACAGATGCCGAGAAGTGAGTAGACGATTGATTGACCTTCCATGATGATCAGCGTTAGATTTGGAGAGAGAACTTCGCCTGGAAAGTTTGTCTCGAAGTTTTTCTTAGTTATCAGCTTTTCTCTGGAAACTCACTAAGAAAAGCTTTTGGATGATGGTTTCCCCAAACTTTTTGACATAACATGATACAAGTGAGTGCACCGGTGATCAGCAAAAGAATCGACCAGATGAGACAGAGAAGGCGGATCGGCTCACAAAAGCGCTGAATTATTGAGGTTTGTATTGGGTTGGTGAATTGAAAACTGCGGGACTTTGAACTAAAATTTATTGAACATAAAACCATGAATTCATTCCAAATAATTTCCATTATTATTGAAGACTTCTGCCGATTTTACAGGCAATTTGCGGATCCCTCTTTCGTGGTAGGATTTTGGTTTGTGTGTGAGACAAGTGTGAGACTCAAAAATGGAGGACTGGAGATGTCCCAGTTTGAGCATTTTCTTCAAAAGAAACCCATTTTGGTGTCAATAGAAAAGTTGTAGAGAATCAAAAATTAGGCTTATAGCCAAATTTCCAAAAAGATACACTTAGTAGTTTCGCTTAAAATGCAAGTTTTGTGAAAATTCGTAAATTTGGCTTTTTCTTGAAAACCAGTTTTTGAATCGTTCTGAAAATTTGGATATAAGCTTGATTTTTGATTCTCTACAACTTTTCCATTGACACCAAAATGAGTTTCTTTTGAAGAAAGTGCTCAAACTGCCACATATGACAATAGCCCGCAGTTTTCAATTTACCAACCCAATAGATTGAGATTAGCCTTGATTTGAGGAGAAGTCAATGTCCAATCTGAGGATTCGGAGCCGGCCAAATTAATTTGGAAAAGGTAGAGGGACGGGGGTTATGCAAGAGCCCTGCGCCAGACGACGAGCGATTACGCGGCTGCACACAGAACACACAGAACACACGAATTTTAAGCGAAACTACTGTGTATCTTTTTGAAAATTTGGATATAAGCTTGATTTTTGATTCTCTACAACTTTTCCATTGATACCAAAATGGGTTTCTTTTGAAGAAAGTGCTCAAACTTTCACATATGACAATAGCCGGTAGTTTTCAATTCACCAGCCCAATATTACAGCTTTTTGTACAAGTTTTGCTAAATAAAATCAATAAAGTTAAGGAATTAAATACAAGAAAAGATTGATTGATTGGTCGTTAAATGAAAGAAAATTTGAAACCTTAAAGCAGATCTCATCTTGAAGATATCTCACGAAACGACAGCATCGATCCTCAGCTTTTTCCTTTTCTTTTTCTGAAATAATTTGAAATTCTTTCTTAACTTAGAACTTAATTGAAAGTTAATTCTAATTTTTTACATAATTCTACATAATTCTACATAATTCTACATAATTCTACATAACTTAAACAATTACCGTAATCATGACTTGTCCCTGGAAGATCTTCGTAGTCATCCACCCGATTTTTGAGGTAAAGATTGATAGGAAACATTGGAAGACAAGCTTGATTTGATTTGAAAATGGTTTTGAGACAAATGAAGATATCAATCTCTTTCGAGCAATTGCTTGATCATTTATAATCTGATCACTTTGGGGATTTCCCTCTGGCAATCCATGCACTCGGTTTTCTTGGGAAAAATTTGAATGTTTAAAGAGAAGAGTTGATGTAGCCATTAAGGAGAGGAAAATATCGATTTCGATTGTTTCAAAGAGCTATTAGATCTAGTGCGAGACTAGATTTTGGTCTGATATCAGAATGATTGCAATAGAAGAACTCGAAAAGATTTGGTAGATAGATTGGGTAGATCTGCAAGCCTGTTAGTCTTAGAATCCGGTATTAGTAGACGAAAAATGTGTGTTAGCAATGGATTTTGTACTAAACTAGCTCTTACAACTAGATAGACGAATGAAATCAATGAATAGAATAACAAAAACATTTGTTAGCTCTGATACAAGCTCTGGCACTTGATAGAGTTAGATTCACACGAAATACTACTAAATAAAGCTTTCAGCTTTGATTACTGATTGCAACAGGTGAAATGAATTGAGTGGGCAAGTGAAAAAAAGAAATAATATTTCTGAAAAACAGCCTTATCACAAGTTTCTTTCAGTTTTCACTTTTCAAAATGACTCTCGAGCTATTGGATTGGCTGGGAATCGTTGTCGATTCGACGATTCCATTCGCTTGTCTCCTTGACATTTTTCTTTTATTCGCCTTTTTGAATGGGAAGAACAATCTGTGCCCAATTTTTGCGTGGTGTCTCAGAAATATTTGTGAGTTTCATCGTGGCTTTTGGAGACACAAAGACGAAACAAGAAAGATTGAATCATTGAATCATCGAGCCTTTCCTGAGCCTAGTGAAATACACTACTGGACATTGAAATATCATATTTGAAAAAGCACTTTCGCACTTTCGCGCGTCTGTAACTCCCTTGTCTTTACCGTATTTCTAAATATTAATATTACCATTGTGTAGCCCTTGAAAAGAGCTTTCAGAAAATGTATAACACTAATAGTTTAAACTCAAAGACAAGGGAGTTACAGACGCGCGAAAGTGACAATCTTTTTTCAAATATGAAGATTTCAGCAAAGTAGACGATCAGATGAGAGTAAACTGGAAAATGAGCCTCAAATGAGTCTCTATTTAATTTTTATTTGATTTTTTCTTTCTTTCAGTGACTGCTACAGGTGTAGAGAGATACAGTACTGAACAATGAAATTTAAAAAATGATCGTCACTTTCTCGTGTCTGTAACTCTCTTGTCTTTAAGTGTAAACTATTAGTGTTATACATTTTCTGAAAGCTCTTTTCAAGGGCTACACAATGGCAATATTAATATTTAGAAATACGGTAAAGACAAGGGAGTTACAGACGCGAGAAAGTGACGATCGTTTTTCAAATATCATATTTCATTGTCCATTACTGTATCTCTCTACACCTGTAGCAGTCACAAACCAAATGAAAATGAAATAGAGACTCATTTGAGGCTCATTTTTCAGTTTACTCTCATCTAATCGTCTACTTTGCTGAAATCTTCATTCATCAATTCACCGCCAATGGCTTCTTTCTCGATTTCTTTCTGGAATATCAAAATATCATTGGGAAAGTAATAAAATCGACTCCCAAGATTGTAAACAAGTTAACAAGTTGTTTAGATCTTTTTCGACGTGTGTGTTGTGTGGACAGCGCAGGTTGTCATTTGGAATATGATTATGGCTTTGTCTAGACTGTGGTGTGTCCGTCGAGCACTCTCATTTTACTCGGTTTGCTTCAAAAAAGTGTTCAAAGAAGGGAATAGAGAAAGAAATTCTAGACTTGGAATGAAAATCTTCAGCGAAAGATCTCGATTTTTGTGTGGAGCTTGAACGTTGTACTTTCTGGGCATATTTTCATTTTCGTTGATTGTCGAGCCTGGGAAATGGTTGGTTGAGGTTTTCAGGGCAAAATAAAGTCAAAGCCGAAGCTAGCGCAAGTCTCAATGCTATAGTATGCTAATGTCAATGCTAATATAAGTACAAATGTACAAATATGTGGCTAGAGTCAGACCTGGTCAGATTCAGAGCTGGCCTGGGCTCTAAACAAAACTAGAAACTGAAATCCGTGGTTAAACTTACTTGGACATGAAAACAATGATGCATTAACTGGCCGTGAACCCGCCCACCAGGGGTTTTTCTAGCTAGATATTTGGCCAGTCGCACGTACTCCACGTGGCGCAGTCGGTAGAGTCTCGGCCTACAGCCCACACGGTCCCGGTTCGACTCCCGGCTCCTGCCGTGACTTTTGCTTTTTAAAAAAACGAAATAAGAGATGTACAACTATCTAGAATTCTAAGTCTAAAAAACTAAAAATTACAGAAAATTACAACTAAAATCGATCACTACAGACAGACAGACACTTTTCTTTTATAAATACTAGATTCTACACGAATGGCTGGCACTGGACTCATCCAGTTCAAGCAAATCTTGCCTAGTTTTTGTGGAGTAGAATTGCGCCCTAACCCGGCTTTGATCCTCCTTTAGGCATTCATCCACAGAAACCTTTACCCAAAAACGAATAACTATCAAATTTAAGGGCAAAGACTCGTGGTCATTCGGGACAAGAACTCCAAATATCATCTCAACTTTTTATGCAGTCTATGTGCACAATTTTCTCTTCTTAATGACGCTTTTCATCTATGGATGGCTGGGATACGAGTTGTATCGAGCGAAGAATTTCCCTGACTATTTGGCGCGGCAAACGCTGATCGCGCAATTCTTGATCAATTTGCGTACGATTTCGATTCTTTTTTTCTAAACAATGTTCTTGTGTTTCAGCAAAATGGATCAATGCGGTGAACATTTTGTACGGGAGTCTCGAATGTTGCCTCTTGAATGGAATCATTCCGCCGATGAATTTGAAATTGTTTTGGCTACTTGCGTGAGTGTTTTTTGAAGCTTTGCTCAGGCTCAGGCTCAGGCTCAGACTCAGGCTCAGACTCAGGCTCAGGCTCAGACTCAGACTCATCTTCTCGTTCATATTTCTATTTTCAGTCAAATCGGTGGCACTTTTTATGGAATCAATGCAACAATCGTCGTCTTTGTCTGCTTTCCAAAGGTGAGGGAATTCATTTTATAGATTAAGCTAATTTAAATGGCTACTTATTAAGCTACTATTGAAAAGATCAAGCTTAAAATCTCAAGCTACAGGCTAGAAAGCGTTTTCGCGAGGTTAGCCGCCGATTGATTTGCGGAAAAGTGACACCCCGAGCTCAAATCTTCTCGATTTCTGATCAATTCTTTAACTCAACAGTTAGATGAAAAATAAATGCATTATCTTATTGAAAATACTGCTTTATACAAGGACAAATTGAAATCAAAGTGCTTAAAGTGGGTTCGATTTGGCTTCAGGCATCAGTGGCTTCAGGCTTGGAGTTGGTTCGATTTGGCATCAGGCATCTTCAGGCCTTTCTCTGTAAACTAAACAATTTAAAGAAACAAATACAAAGTTGTAACGATATTAATGCTGACAATTCACCTCATTAATCACACACTTTCCTTTCAGAAATCCTGTAGATCCAGGTGAAAACGGAACAGTTTAAGGAATAAAATATATTTTTGAGTTTTTTTTGTGCAATATCTTCATTTCAATCTTCCCCTCTAAATGGTCATTGATTTCTTAGATCCTAGAATCTCCTAGGACTTAGAATCTCCTAGGTCTAAGAATTTCCTAGGACTTAGAATCTCCTAGGACTTAGAATTTCCTAGGTCTAAGAATTTCCTAGGTCCTATTCTTAGAATTTTCTTTTTTTCTACTCTTTCCTAGGTCTCCTTGGTTCTCCAGAACACGACATAGACATTGATGAGAATATATTACGACAAGTTGCTCAAGTTAACATTCTCATTGTAGAATCCTACGGTACTAACAATAAGTGTAAGCACAAAAGCACTGTATCTATTAGTGGAGCTTTCTAAATGACACTTATTTTAGAACTACCGTAAGCTAACTGTTTTCATTGAATATTGGCGAATTTTCACTAAAAGGTAAACATTTTATTTATAAAATAAAAAAAAGAAACGACGAAATCTTTCGGTGAGAATGCTGAGATTTAGAAAGTCGTTTTCTTTATACAAAAATAAATTCATTAACTCTTTGCAAAGCCGTTTATGTATGGATGTAAAGTGGTAACGAAAATGCACCCAAAAGCCTTTTCAATCACTGATCAATTCAATTAAATATGCTTCGTAAAATGAAAAAAAACTTTATTCAATAAAGAAATTTGGTTTATGATTAAAAAGTTTATGAATTGGCTTTAAGCAAGGCAAACTTTTGATTCAATTAATTTCAATTTCAATTTCAATCAAACATTGATCGTTCGCCGTCCCGGATTCCCCTCTTCATCATCCCCATTTCCTTGAATCTTCAAATCTGAACAAATCCACAAGATAAAAGTCCCAACACTAATACAAATAGCTACAGTCCCAAAAATCATGAACACCCAAATCGCTGCTTTCAACAAAAACTCAGGCAACCAAGTGGCTATTTGAGCACAAGTCACACCAGTGAAACCACAACGATAGAAAATGAGAGCAATGAAAAGTATGAAGCCGGACAAGAAAACATTGATGGCTAAATAGAGAAGAGTCACTTGGAAACAAAGAGAGAATTCCGTGTCTATTTTGAAGAAAATTATGTGAATGATAAAGCAGATAAAGGTAATGAGATGAATCCAACGCTCGATCGAACACAACTCATTACAAAGGTACGCCGGTAGGAAGGGGCCTGGAAAATGGAATTGATCCAATGATTTTACATCCTTATGCCATCATGGCCGACTGGCTAAGAGTCCTGTATTTTCGGTGGGAGGTCAAGGGTTCAATCCCGTCAGCTAGATTGTCAGCTAGCTATCATTTTATCAGTTAAACTCACGCAAGGGTTCAATCCCGTCGGCTAGATTATCAGCTAGCTATCATTTTATCAGTTAAACTCACTCAAGGGTTCAATCCCGTCAGCTAGATTGTCAGCTAGCTATCATTTTATCAGTTAAACTCACCAATGAACGAGTGTGGTTCGATGAACTCGTGCCAAACGCGATGCGAATAGAAAACGATTGATAGACTACCGGAGAGAAGAAAAATCCCGGAGCAGAGTAAGGAAAGCGCTTGAAGACAGTATTTTTTGGCCTAAAACATTTAAAACACTCATTCTTTACTTCTAAATCGTAAAAGAGTTGTTCAATCATAAAAGAGCTGTTGTTCACATACTCGATTTTTGGAGATTCCCGAGATTCGGCGCCTTATTGATGGAAACGATTGATTTGTGAGTGTTTCTAAAAAGTAACTATTGATAATTTGTTAATAAACAAAAGATTTCAAGTTTTCTTTTAAGTTTAAATTCATTTTCTTAGTATTCTTAGTATTTGAATCGATTTTAAACTCAAAATGAAGCTTGATAAATGGAATTTTTATCTATTAGGTACATGCATAACATTTGCATGAATTTCCAACGATAGAAACCTGAAAACGATATCGATGAATGTTATAAACTATTTGAAAGTTGTAAACCTCCTCTACAAAATAGGCTAAAACGTGTTTCAATCGATCGAAGCATTGAAGAAATTTCGAGGGCGAAATGCGAGTGACCAAAAAAAAGGAATCAAGTCACTTTAGGGACAAGTTTAGCGTGGTCAAAATAGAGTTAGCTTCCCAAAATTGAAGATTTTAAAAAGAAAGGATAACTATATATCAATTGATTAAAAAAATCTAACGGAAATGCATTTACAGAAATTTAGACAGAGCGTAAGTTCTTCTTCTCTTCTTCAATTTTGGGAAGCTAACTCTATTTTGACCACACGAAACTTGTCCCTAAAGTGACGCGATCCCTTTTTTTGGTCACTCGCATTTCGCCCTCGAAATTTCTTCAATCGTTCGATCAATTGAAACACGCTTTAGCCTATTTTGTAGAGGAGATTTACAACTTTCAAATAGTTTATAACATTCATCGATATCGTTTTCAGGTTTCTATCGTTGGAAATTTCTGAAAATATTGAAAATATTGAAATCCGCATTTCTTATGCATGTACCTAATATTTAAAACTTTGTTTTGTTTTGTTTTCATTTTGTTTTCATTTTGTTTTCATTTTGTTTTCATTTAAAAGGTTAAAAGGTTAAAAGGTTCTATAGTTTTCTGTTTTATCAATTGAATTCTTAATTGAATTCTTATTTGAAACGGCCGCAGTGCCATAAAATTGTGTGTTTAACCTTTATGTCTTATTATGTACCCTTTGTTTGTATCACATTATTGGTTTTCAATAAATGTATTTTTAAATTGAATACAATTGAATACAATACAAATGAATGCAATACAAAAAACAAACCCTCAAAATCGACTGGCTCGTCGATTGTCCCGTAACGATTGGACATTGTTGTTTTGATTGTTTAGAAGGAATTTGAATTATTGAAGTATTGGATTGAGAATTGAGAATTGATTATTGAATTATTGAATTATTGAATTATTGAATTATTGAATTGAGAATTGTTTATTGAATTAAATCAATTTTCTTTGAGAACAGATGGTTAAATGAAATGATTCGCCAAAAAGGCGGCTATGCCTTTGGCTAATATGAAGTTTTTTTTGGGGAAAATTGCGTAATTGAACCGATTTTTATCTTTAGAATGAATGTATCTTTTCGAAAAATAAACAAAACATAGAATTTTTCAAAGGAAAACTCTTTGCTTTAGTGTGATTTTTGTGCTTTACAAACGCGAGCACAAGAAAACTTCATTCACAAAGTGTTCATTGTTCTTATTTTCTTATTTTCAACTTAAATTGATATGATTGTTTATAAGTTTTATCAAAAAAAGCTTTCCTTGGTTATTCAGTGATTTATTATTGCTCTTTTTTAAACAGAAAAAGAATCACAAGGAAAACAGATGACGCTCTCTTTCTCTTTCTCTCTCTTCTTCTCTCTCTCTTGAGAATTAATCTCATTCTCTTTTATCCAAAGCTCATTCTCTTTTAATCGATTGCTATGCTTTCAAAAGTTCTTTTTCTATTTCTACTTTTAATTCTTGAATCCTTTGTGGCAGTTCTTTGTCTCAAATGTGAATTTGAATGGACACAACGGGGATCATCATGCTATTTGCTTCAGGTGCTTCGGAAATTTGATTTCTTTAAGATTAAACGATATAATAAACCTTTTTTTATCAAAACTTAAGATATTTTAAGTTCTATCGGATTGAGGTCAGGAGACTGAGCGGGCCAGTCCAAAGTTGCAATGTTATTGCTGTTCAGCCAGTCTCGGGTGTCTCCGGCTCGATGAATTGACGCGTTGTCGTATTGAAACAAGTCCGGAACGGTTGGATTTAGGAGCAAAAACGGCAACAAGCAATTGTTCAAGATATCTATCTAGTCATCCGATTCGAAACCATCTTCAGAGCGACCGTTCCATCAGCACAATAGGCGGCCCAAACCATCACAGAACCACCGTCAAAGTTTGGAGTTCCAAACACCATCGGATCACGTCGAAGATCCCTCCAATAGTAGTCAACGCCATCGGGACCATCCCAATTCCATTTCTTCTCATCGGAAAAGATCACCTAAAGGCAAAAAAAATAATAAAACATAAGCGGCTTTCTAACCATAGACCAATCCTGATTCATATGAGCCTTGGCAAACTCCAATCGGACTTTTTTTGTGCAAAAGCTTCACGACCGGCTGCATGTTCAATAATTGTCGATCGATATGTGGGTTTTCCGTGACGGCTCGCCAAATTGTCGATTCGAAGCGTCGATTTTCAGTTCCGTTTTCACTTCATTGATCGTTTTTCTGTGGATTTTGTTCACAATATGGTGTCTAGCTCGCGGTGTAAGCTTTGGTTTTGGTCCTGGCTTCTTCTTTGGTGCAGGAACGAACTCGGACTTTCTATAATTTCGCACGGCAGAGTCGGATCGGCCCAAATTTTTTGCGATTTTCCTTATTGAGTCGCCAATCCTCAAACGGGCATCAATCTGGCCTTTATCATAATCCGTGAGCAGCTTTCCATGTGCCATTTACCTGGAAATTAACAAAAATTACAAATTTAATAAAAAAATATGCACAACAAAACGAAAAATTTCAAATAACAACAGCAAAGGCGGGTGCGTTTAAGAATTTGAAACGGTTGATTTAGCAAAAAGTTTCTATTTTGAAAATTTTTATTTTTTACAGTAGGCTTATTTTTCGTGTTATTTAGGTTTTAAGACATGCTCTTTCTAATAGAAAAAGATTAATAGTTGTAGCGGTGGTCAAAGGGCAAAATTCGCTGTTTTAGGGGGTGCGTTTAAGAATTTGAAACGCACTGTATAAGCTGTAAACTAAGCAATGTTCAATACATTAATTCTTCCGTTTTAGGGTGACTTGTCCGACAGCGCGCCTCTCTTTACTTTCACTGAAGCTGAAGCCGATTGTGTGCAGCGAAAAGGACATCTCGTTTCAGTGCACAGTAAAGTTGAACAGGATTTTCTTACTGGTAAAGAATTTGAAATTTTGAGATACAGAATTTGTATTTAGATTTGGTGAAAAGAAAAGAGAGTGGCGATTGCGCAAAGGAGAACGTTTGGACTGGATTGTGGTACGATGAGGCAAAGGAGAAAGCTCTTTTACTGGTTAGTCATCACACATAGATAGATTTCATAGGTTTCGAAGAAAATCAAAGATTATTGCAAAGATTCCTTTAGTTATAAGCCTTTTTCAGATGGTTCACCGGTGGATTTTTGGCGGAACAAAGTTGATGACTCATTTGGCGCTTCGGCACTGGTGGTGGGTGATTTGAAAAGCCAAAAAATTTGTCGAAATTTTCAGATTTAAGATATTTTGTTTATGAGATACGTTTATTTTTTCGCAAACTCGATTTCCAGATTCAAAACTCGTTGAAATGCTCTCCAGTGGCTCCAATTTTCATTCAAATCGACATCTCTGCGAAACTTTCGCGTTACATTTGCAAAAAAACGGCAATTAATGAGATTCAAGACTATTGATTGATGTTAAAATTGATAAGAATGATTTAATTGAAAAAAATGATTTCATTTTGTCAATCCAGTCTTGTAAAATAAAACAGCAACAATACAACAGCAACAATGCAACAGCAACAATGCAACAGCAACAATGCAACAGCAACAATGCAACAGCAACAATGCAACAGCAACAATGCAACAGCAACAATGCAACAGCAACAATGCAACAGCAACAATGCAACAGCAACAATGCAACAGCAACAATGCAACAGCAACAATGCAACAGCAACAATGCAACAGCAACAATGCAACAGCAACAATGCAACAGCAACAATGCAACAGCAACAATGCAACAGCAACAATGCAACAGCTTCCTTATCTCTGTTTGGTTCCTTATCTCTCTCAATTTGGTTCCTTGTCTCTCTAAGTTTGGTTGCTTATCTCTCTAAGTTTGGTTTCTTTGTCTCTCTAAATTTGGTTCATTATCTCTAACAATGCAACAGCACAATGCAACAGCAACAACGCAACAGCACCAACGCAACAGCTTCCTTATCTCTGTTTGGTTCCTTATCTCTCTCAATTTGGTTCCTTGTCTCTCTAAGTTTGGTTGCTTATCTCTCTAAGTTTGGTTTCTTTGTCTCTCTAAATTTGGTTCATTATCTCTAACAATGCAACAGCACAATGCAACAGCAACAACGCAACAGCACCAACGCAACAGCTTCCTTATCTCTGTTTGGTTCCTTATCTCTCTCAATTTGGTTCCTTGTCTCTCTAAATTTGGTTCCTTATCTCTAACAATCCAACAGCAACAATGCAACAGCAACAATGCAACAGCACAATGCAATGCAACAATACAACAGCAATAATACAACAGCAACAATACAACAGCACCAATACAACGGCAACAATGCAACAGCAACAAAAAGACAACTTGAACACTCTCAATCACATCAATCTCTCATCTATCGGCTGTTAAAAGGCATCTATCGGCTATCGGCTGTTACAATATCCAAAACAAATCCAAAACAAATCAAAATCATTAAATCTACAGATAATCTACACATAAATCTTCATTTAAATACAAGAATTCCAGAAATACCCCAAGAAAACAACAATTATTTGAGTGGGTTTTATCGGAAAGAATCAAATTTTCGAGGAAATTTCATTAATTTACTCATTCATCGGCTAAAAATCAAATTCTCGCGTCAACAAGTTCCATAAAAAGACCCAATTCTGACAGCAGAATGTCCATTTTAAGGAAATTTCACTTCCAAATCGATCTTTAGCTTTAATCTAATCGAGCTTTTTAGTTTTCAAGTCACATTTTTTGATAATTTTTCTATGATTCAGTTCCTGAGGTGTTTTTTTCATCGAAATTCCTACAATCCGACTAAACACAAGGAAAAAAACTAAGAAATTTAAAGAAATTAAAGAAATTAAAGAAATTTACTCAATTCTCATCAAACTTCAACACCTTTTTTTTTAATGATTTATGAAAAGATTGACGAAAAGATTAAATCTTTCTTCGCTCAAATCAAATCTTTGCTCAAAAAACTGTACAAAAAACAAAAGTTTCAAGTGGCCAAAAAATGTTTAACGCTTTTTTTTCTTACTTTTAACGTTTACTCATTTCTTTTTCAATTGTTTTTCTGAAATTTAAGGAAAACTCTTTGCCAATCATTTTCTATTCTTTCAACGATCTTTTGATTCGATTTTGCTTTTGTTTCGGTTCGATTACCCGACTTTAGCTCTGAGAAATGTTCGCCGAGGTGCTGATTGGTGTCTTGATCGATTTTTCCCTTGCTTTCATTGATCTAATCTCTTTATATCTTTTATTCAAAGCGAAACGATTAGCCCAATCTTTTTCTATTCTTTCAACGATCTTTTGATTCGATTTTGCTTTTGTTCCGGTTCAGTTACCCAACTTTAGCTCTGAGAAATGTTGACCGAGGTGCTGATTGGTGTCCTCATCGATTTTTCCCTTGCTTTCATTGATCTATTCTCTTTATATCTTTTATTCAAAACTCTTTGCCAGTCTTTTTCTATTCTTTCAACGATCTTTTGATTCGTTTTGGCTTTTGTTTCGGTTCAATTACCCGACTTTAGCTCTGAGAAATGTTTGCCGAGGTGCTGATTGGTGTCCTCATCGATTTTTCCCTTGCTTTCATTGATCTATTCTCTTTATATCTTTTATTCAAAGCGAAACGATTAGCCCCAATGTATCGAATCATTCAACTAGCGTTGATCACTGATTTTCTTGAGATTTCCAGTCGTCTAATACATGATTATATTGATCGAATCACTGAACAAGAGAATTTCGGTAGAATTGAAAACTTTTTCTTTGAATTTTTTGAATTGTTTGAATTCAATCGAAATTTTAGCTCCTATCATTTTAAATGTTTTCATTTTTATCCAAGGAACACGTTGGTATGGTCAATTGATGTTGACGATTCTTTTGGCTTTATGTCATTTCGCGATCATCTTATTACCAATGAGATTTCAAGCATTAACGACAAAGACGATGATCTTTATCATTGTCATCTTTGCTGTTATCCCGGCTTTCGGTAAATTTAGTTTTCCAAGATAAAAACATTGAATATACATACTAAAAATGAAAACCTACTCAGCCAAAAAAGCTCTAGCAGATTCTGGATTCATTTAAATTCATTTAAAAGCTTTCAATTGTAAATAAGGATTTCTTTACAAACCAGCTCTTATCAAAAAGCTTTCTGAATCTGGGCAAAGTATTCAACTCAAATAACTTGAAGTAATCTATGAAAGAATCTATGAAAGAGTCTGTGCAAGAATCTATAAAATAGTCTATGAAATAGTCTATGAAAGAATCTATAAAATAGTCTATGAAATAGTCTATGAAAGAATCTATAAAAGAGTCTCTGCAAGAATCTATGAAAGAGTCTATGCAAGAGTCTATGCAAGAGCCTATGAAAGAATCTATGAAAAAAATCTATGAAAGAATTCCCCATTCAGCCATCACAATCCCACTTTTCTTTGCATGTTGTGGCTTCAAATTCTACCTCACTGGCTACTATTGGAATCTTGACAATTCTAAGCCCGGCTATCAATTCTATACACTTTTGGGAATCATCTTGCAGGTAAACAAAGAAGTTGAAGTTTGAAGTTTACATTTTAAATCTCACTTTTAGCTGATAGCTGTCGCTTTCTTGGTACTCTCTGATGTGGTTCTGTTAATCAAATTGAAATCGTTTACTATTAAGAAAAACACCATTCAGCAGG